ACTCCCACAAAAACGCAAACAGTATGTTGATAGCTAGAGGGAAAGGGGTTGGGGTTAGGTGCAGGTGGGCAAAGGTGGGGGAAATGCAGAAGGAAAAGAGACTACTTGAGGCTGTGTGTGCAGATGCAATATGAAGATGATGTTTTGTTGAGTTGTACACTTGAAACCTCTGATTTTGTGAACCAATGTCACCTCAATAAATTCAATTTTAAAAAATAGAAAAAAATAAAATAAATGTTGAACAAGGGGAGAGAACAAGGCATCCACCCATCCTAGCTCTATCGTTTTGATTTTAGCCCTGAGCTCTGGAAAGGCTAGTGGTGGGTGGTGGAGGATCTTATAAGGAGAGACTAGAAGGAAAAGACTAAAAAATTAACAATGCTGGTCTCAGGGTGGTGTAACTGCCAGTAATTTAAATATCCTATAGTCTGTTTTTCTGTATTTTTCACAACTCTGTGATAAGTGAGCAGTAATTTAGATTGGGAAATTCTCGAAACATTTCTCTGGATGGGTGGCAGGGGAGGGTGTGCGTGTGTGCGTGTGTGTGTGTGTGTGTGTGTGTGTGTGTGTGTGACATTAGATGGGGGTTAGGGTGAAAGAGGTCCTGTGATGAAGAGTCAAAGTGCTGTATCCAACTGTATGACAAGTGAGCACAATAAAGAAGTGAACAATAAAAATAAATATACATAATAAAATTTAAAAATGAAGACTATAAACCAGTTGCCTGGCTTATCAGTAACTGTCCTGATACTGACTTGCCACTTCCTCTTCCTTGTTGCTGGCTTTAAAGCTCTAGGGAATTCTAAAAAGAAGGGCTCAGATATAAAGTAACGTTTCTTATAAATATCATAACATTTGCTTGACACTTTTGAGTTATTGAAAAATAATCTGAATCTCAGCATTAAAGGCATGGTTAAATATATGATAAGAGCATCCCTAAGATGGAATCCTATGCAGTCTTTACAAATTTCCTCTGGGTAGGAATCATTGGTGATAGTTATTTTCTCCACATTTCTAATGCTGATTATTGATTAATTGAACAATTTTTAACATTTTAACCATTTTCCAGATTTAAACAACAATTTGTATTGTGTTACTATTGCAGAGATAAATACTGTTTAGATATTATTGTACCTTTTTACAGATTCTTTTATTACTCAGGTAAATTTTCCTTTTTAAATTATTTTATCTCTGTGTACTGTATACTGTTACAGTATTTATAAAATTTAATTTTCAGGCTCATGTGCCATTCTGGTAGTTCCATAGTTATGAGTCTCCTGCATTCCAAGTTTTATTTTTCTGGTTCTGTTCTTGCAACATTCCTGTAATTTTCTGATAATAAATACAATATATGCTTTTTTTTTTTTTTTAATTTAGAAAATGAGAAAAATTTTAGAGTGTAACAGAAATCACTAGCAATCTCACAACCTTGAGAGAACAGATGTGTACATTTTGGTCCTTTTAGTATAATTTGTTTATATATGTGTTGTATTTAAGCTGGGGTTTTAAAAAATAAAACTGGGTCCACTTTTATAAACTTTTTTTCTCTTATTAACATATTACAATGCCCTTGAATAGTTTCCAAGAATGTAATTGTAAAAGAAAATCCATTGTTTTTAAATATATTGTGTAGTTAAACTGAACTATTAAAAGACAAAGAGAGAAAGTATGTTCATCTAATTTTAAGACTGAAGTGTCTTTCAACATCATACAGTCACAGAAGTCACAAAGGAAATTATGTGTTTCATAACATAAAACAAAAGTATATGATATCAAAAGCACAGTCAACAAAAGAAAAAACAGATAAATAGAATTTCTTCAAATTAGAAGCATTGTTTTGCCTCAAAGGATAGTATCAATGGAGTTAAAAGGCAACCCATTAAATGGATGGAAATATTGAAAATCATATATCCAAGAGAAGATTAATATCCAGAATATATTAAGAACTCTTACAGCTCAACAAAAATAAGGGAAAAAAACAAATAATTTAAAAATGGGCAAAGGACTCGAATAGACATTTTTACAAGGAAGAGATGCAAATGGCACGTGAAAAAATATTGACCATCAATAATTAAGGAAATGGAAATCAAAACCACAGTGAGAGACCACTTCACACCCATTAAAATAGATGTATGTCAGAATTTCACACCTATCAAAAAATAAAAACAGAAAATAACAAGTGTCTGTGAGGATGTGGAGAAACTTGAAACTTTATGCATTGCTGAAGAATGTAAAATGATGCAGACACTGTAGAAAACAGTATGGTGGGACCACACACAAAAAAAGTAAACATAGAATTACCATATGATCCAGCAATTCCACTTCTGGACATATAACCAAAAGAATTGAAAGCAGGGTCTCAAACAGACATTTTTCTACCCATGTTTACAACAGCATTTTCCAATAGCCAAAAGGTGGAAACAATCCAAATGTCCATTGACAACAAAATAGATAAAATGTCATATATATATGATATTATTCAGCCTTAGAAAGGAAAGACTTTTTTTTGCATTTATTTATGTATTTTAATTACAGTTTACATTCAATATTATTTTGTATTAGTTTCAGGTGTACAGCATAGTAACTGGACAATTATATACTTTACAAAGTGTTCCCCCTTATATTTCCAGTACCATCTTGGAAATTCTGACATACACATATTACAACATAGATGAACCTTGAAAACATGCTAAGTCAAATAATCCAGACACAAAACAGCAAATACTGTATGATTCTACTTATATGATATACCGAGAGTGTTCAAATTCATAGAGACAGAGTATAGAATGGTGGTTGCTAGGATCTGGAAGAAGGTGAGAATAGGAGTTTTTACTTAATGGGTACAGAGTTTTGGTTTAAAAAAATGAAAACATTCTGGATGTTCATGATGATCACACAATAATATGATTGTACTTAATGCCACTGAACTGTACATCTAAAATTGGTTAAAATGTTCACTCCATAGTATTGCAAATATCCATCTTTACTTCTATATAGCTATAATGTATCTGTGGAATCATATTCAGGCTTGCCGCTAGAATTGTCACTGTGAGTGAAATAGGGGCAGCAAGTACTCCTCCTGAGCACTTTCTCCACAAGGATTCCTTTCTCAATAGTTTTCATGGAATATACTACCAAGAGCTGTTAAGGATATGACGAAATGTACAATGCCTTCCCCAGTAGAATATCAATTTCATCATTTTTTTGGCAAGGGTTAGTCTTCCTTATTTACTGCTGTATCTCTTTGCTTGACTCATGATAGATACTCAAGAAATATTTACTCATATACATTGAAGCAATGGGAACTAAATATAGAAACATTACTGGTCTAAAGATAGAGGAGGTCATTAGAAATACTATATATGTGCTTACTTAGTTGCAACAACCCAGTGTAGACTCCAAGTTCATCATGGCTATGGTATCTGCCTCCACAAGTCTACTCTTGGAGGACATTAGGGACAATGTCCAGTTGGATGAACTGGTTCTGGTTGAGTTTGTCAAATGATTTGCCTCATTATTTTATAGTCATGTCAATGATGTAAAGTTGGCTTCATTGGGATTTAACATCTCTTCTACAAAATTTATAGAATTTAATGCTGGGATATAAAGAAATGGTTGATACTAGAAAGGAGAATCCAATATAGAACACAACACATTCTCGATTGTGACAAAACTGGAGTGAAACAATACAGCTAATTCAAACGTTATTTGTATTTGGCTTAGAATTTGGGCACTTATTTTTGAATATGAAGAGGTCTTGGAATTACACTATGTAAATTTTCAATAATTAAATTAAACCATAACATAAAGACCAATGAAAAAAGAAATGAAGTCCTTCAAATTCCCTAATGTACTTCCTGCTAACAGATACTCCCATCCCCATTCTCACTGTTGAAAGTAAACATAGCATCACCTCTCATGAAATAGTAATATTCTACAACAAATGTATAAATAATAAATCTTTCTTGCTAAAAAAAAAATTAAATTAAAATTAAAATAATAATAAACTG